TGGTCAGCAAAGACATCACTTATCTGTGTTACTAATTTGATAGCAGACCCATAGAGCTGCCTCCAGTGCACTCCAACTGATGGCCATGCAGAGACCCGGCACCCATACAAGCACACTCTAGCCTCTGCTTGCTTGCCAGAGGAAGAGTGCCTGTCCTTTTGTGCTTGACCCATTGGCCTTCATCTAGCCTAGCTGCTTTTACTGAAAAATAGAAAACTGATGTTGGACAGGCAAATCTAGTGCTCACACAGCCCCAGTCTGTCGCTCAGAAAAGGCAGGTGAGATGTGTAGCTAGCCCTTGTTTAGATGATAAGCAGAAAGAATACAAATGATAAAATGCATGTCTAAGGGAATTCAAAACCTCCCCAAAAGGTGCAGGAAAGGTGAGAACAGCAGGGTTTTGCTCTTCCCACCAGCACCAATTTTCCTCTCCACTGTTTATGATTATTTACTAATTTCTATCAGCTGGGAGAATTTGGGGCAATATCCCTGAAAGGGCTGGTATCTTGGTTCTGTTTATCAGATTTCAGCTTGGCTTCCCTTTGCTCCTCTTTTTATTTTTCCTCGCCAATATTTATTTGAAAAACTGTTTTGGCAGGATTTACAATCCACAAAACCCCATGGACCTGGAGAGAAAAAAATAATCTCAGGTGCTACTTAAGAAATTCCTCCTTTCTAAACCTCAGTGGATTAAAGTTTCTGCCCTAATGATCTGTGTGAGAGCTTTTGTGTAAAACTTCAAATAACTTTATTGATTACATTCTGTATAGTATGAGTCTGGACCCCTATTTGTATTTTCCTTTTCTAAGAAAGGTTTTTATAAAGACATACAGTACCAGAATGGATTAGTGCATTAGCCCTTGTCTTTGCAGACTTACTTGCAATCCAGACAGGATTTGGATGAAGAGAGTCTTACCAGACAGGATCATGCTTCTCAATGGAAAAAATTTCCATACTGAAAAATGGAAAACATAACATTTAGCACAATTAAGTCTATTTGATAGCTTTGTCTGTGCTGAGGAGCAGGGGTGGCTGCAGAAACAGCACCACCGGTCAGCACTGAGGTGCTTCAACAAAGCTGTCTCAGAACTAGGGTAGTTTTTATAAAGAGCTTTCTCAGAAGTAGAGAAAAGAACGAACTTTGGTAAAGCTGAATGAGAGACTCCAGCTGGCATAACAGAACTTATAGGTGAAAAATGAAGTTTACTGGCAGAATGCTTGGGTCTGACTGAAACAGAAGCACAGTGCCACAATTTCCTCTTTCCTCTGACAATGTCTCCATAACCATTTTCTTCCTGATGTCTCCCAGCACAAGGCTCTTTCACATAGCAAATAGATGAAAATGGGCATGGAAGTTTTAGTTTTAAAATAACCTACAGGACCTTCACTCTGTTTTTAGAAAGGAAACAGGACTTCTGTCTAAACGCAGACTCCCCACCCTCTCTTTCTACCCTCCCTTGTCCTTTCCACCTGTTTAGATGTTTTCACAGTAGGATAACACATTCATTCCCTCCTGACTAGGGCTCAGCTGTTAGGAATGGAAAATAAAACCGAAGTTTGCAGAGTATTTTTAGCCTAGAGAAAATAAAGTGGTTGCAAATACTGTACACCCCCCCAGCTCCTCCGGCTCGCGGAGATCCGTGCCCAGAAAGAAAGGAAACCGCAAGACCAGGCTGAACCCTTTGATTTGGTATCAGTGCCAAGTATTCTGGAGTGACTCACCCAACAATCCCACCCTTCTTTTTCTGTCTGTTTAAACGTGCCCTCCCCAGGAGTCACATCATCTGGTCTTTCCCATCTTTGTGGCACTGATGCTTTCACTACCATATATGCACTTAGCTGGACTCAGCCCATTACTCTCATCCCTTTGTATGAGATAATCTGTTGATGACTGGCTAATCAGTAGGTTGCAGATGGGTCTCCCATTTCCCTCTGATCTCACAAGTCTCAAGGGACTAGCCTTCTGAGAAGAGACAGTGCGTAAGAGGATACAACACTAAACAGATGACACATATTTTAGATTCACCTAATGGCTGCTCCTGGTTTCCAGACTCCCCACATGCCATTTGTTTTTAACAAATGGCCACACAAGCTGTGGAGATGATATTTTAGAAATGTCTTTGAAAGGCTGACTTACCTCTAATGGCATTTGCAGCATGTGTGCCCCTGACAGTAGTCGTCTGTGCTGTCAAGCTGCTCCCACTGCAGGTAAAAATCAAGTATCTTGAAAAAGAAATCATAAACTGACAAACAAAATGGGTTTAGATAAAACGCATCCTGAATGGGAGAAGTGGTTTAAGAGACGAGGAAGATTTAGATCTCACTAGCACCTATGGTTGGGTCTATGCACCCTTGGACTGTGAACTGTTAAGGAGGCCTTGCTTCACTGTTAGCAAAACAGTGATTTCTTCATTGCTGAATTGACTGCAGTATCTTGTATGCAAGAGCAACACAGGATGTGGCAAAATTGTCAACAAAACTGCCAAAAGGCAGTTGTAAATCCTGAAATAACCTTTATGTAAATTATTCTGATTTTCTGTTTCTGTCCCAGCAAAATCTGAAGATTTTGTACCACTGCCTAGAACAGTCGCCACTGCACATCTCTGACAGCCCCTCTGTAGAGCAGCAAAAGGCATCCTGGATCAGCCTTACAGCCTGTACACAGGGGTCATATTTTTAATATGAAACAAAATAGGATAGGGCTAGTTCTCCCGCACTTATGCCAGCGGGCTCAGCACAGTTCTCAACCATCCTTTTTTTTACCTTCCAACACAGAGAAGGATTTCCATACCCACATATTGTCTGGGAGGGCAGAGTTGGCCCAGAGAGAGCCAGCACCATGGTAGCAATGTAAAGAGTACATATAACCAGGTACCAGGGTTTAGCCCTGTGTTATGGGTACAGGTGCTGGTATTACTGAACCTGAGGTGTGCTGGACCCATTGAACACACCAGAACACTGGAGCAGTGCATGAATACTAGGCCTCACAAGAACTGTACTTATTATGAAGGCATCACAAACAGCTCAGACATATACCTAGGGTGTGAGGCACTGGAACATGTTGCCCAAAGAAGTGGTAAATGCTCCATCCCTGGCAGTGTTCAAGGCTAGGTTGGACAGAGCCTTGGGTGACATGGTCTAGTGTGAGGTGTCTCTGCCCATGGCAGGGGGTTTGAACTTGATAGTCTTGAGGTCCTTTCTAACCCAAACCATCCTATGATTCTATACTTCTGTCCAAGAAATCCTGGAAAGAAATATGGCAACTCCTTTGGGAACCGTTGAACTCTCCTCCTCCATCTCCGTTTAGTTAGTCATCATCATCATCATGCTGTTATGGGCTCTTTTAGTTGTAGGAGTATTCCCAACTGACTTCCTTAAAAAGCACTTTCTATTTAAAACTGAAAAGCAGCTGCTGATAATGCTGCCTTAAGCTGGCCATTTTGCTTCTTGCTTCTATAGGTTCCACATTTTTGCTATCCAGCCAGCACAATAAGCATTTCAGCTTCAATTGTCTGGGATTTCCAGAAATGCTCAGCACTGACCTCACTGTGACAAACACTAAGTGTGGGGATGGGGGTTTATTCTTTTTATTCTTGAAAAGGTGGAGCATCCACAAATAAAAGATCATCTGCAAAGTTAAGGCCAGCACAGTTATTCCAGTAGCTGGCACACTACTACATGAATGCTGACTATTTACAGCAGATGTAATCCAAGTTTATCTTCTATGAAAACTTTAGCACATTATTTCTGGAAGTTCAAGTTATAACTGCAACGATTTGTAAGTAATTCAAGAAAACAGTTCTATTAATCCATCCAGTTTTGGGGTGTTGAAGGAAAAATATATTTCTGAAGCTTTCAGTCCTTGTGCAGGGAAGTGAGTAACATGCTGGGAATTATCTATTAGCAAATGTTTTAACCCTTGCCACTGCTGGCAATATTGTTGATAATATACAGCATAAATTCATTGGGAATTAGGCTTTTTTGTTTTAGTGAGCCTCAGGGGAGGCACCCCCACCAAACTGACCAGATTTAGCCAGCTTGGATCCAAGGGTGTCAGTAAAACCCCACCCAGACAACTGTTTTAGGACTGCTGGCCTCTTCCCGGAACTTACCAGCGGAAAAAAGAAATCAAAAATGAAATCATTAAAACATGAGCCAGACTTCTGACTTTATCAAAAGGTATCTTTTAATTTTAAGCAAGGGTATTCTCAAACATTGGCGCTTAGTCGTCTTTTTCCAATTCTGTGAAACCAGGGGGACAGTATCCACTGAAGACTATGCTACAGCAAATTCAAGCACACAAGCTTAAAACAAGTACTAGTTTTCTCTTTTTAGTCTCCAGGGAGGCCAATAAGAATTCACAGACCTCAAGCGAATCTACCAACCATAGCAAAAAATACCTAACCTAAAGTAACATTAGCAAAAGTCAGCCTACAGGTCTTGAGAGAGGAAAGCACAAGTTTCTTCAAAAGTGGCTTTTTTCCCAGTGCTCTTTCTAAACAGTCTCAAAAAACTTTTTGGTATAATTTCCTGTAATTTGCAGGATTGGGGGGGGGAATGGGCATTCTAGTAAAGACACACATAGGCGAAGCTCTTTATTCATACTCTACTTCCACTGAAATTATTATAAAACCCACAGTGACTATGACAGGACCAGACTTCAGCAGACAAGTGCTTCTGAGGAGTCCAGTATTTATGTCAGGAAAACTGGAAAAGCTGTAGATTTTGTAACTTATGACAGGATGCTGGCTGGAGCTCAGACGTTAGTATTTCTGTTACACAACATGAGGATGCACTTCATGGAGGAACATGAGAGATCTCCATACATCTACTGAGCAAGACGTGCACTTAAATACTTACTTACAGCTGCTAGAAATCTTATTTTCCAAGAGCTCTCAAAAGAAGTTTAAGGGCTACTCAGCCGTGACTTGGATGTCAGAAATGGTATTTGGAGGAATCTCAGTTGTTCTCTGACAGAGAACAGATTTTTATTGACTTACCCCAGATAGACAGTTGAATCAGATGACTGCAATTGGATTTCTGCTTTCTTGGAAGCTGGGAATTTGCCTTGGCTTGCAGTAACAGCTTCTGGGTACCTGATCCCACATGCAAGCAGGTAAATAATTGACAGATGGTTTTCTTTATGCAGCTAAGTAATAACTTTCAACATTGTCAGGAGAGATTAGAAAGCAGGAGGAAAACGCATTGAAGAAAGTTTGGGCTTAAGCTGCTGTGCTGTTGTTACCCAGCATCCCTGCCAGGCTAACTGCAGCAGGCGGATTCCATGGGTGCCTAAAGGTGCTTGTTATAGAGGGTGTTTACAGGTGTCCCATTATCAAGTACTGATATAAAATACTACCACGGAAAATCGTGTTTAATAAGCTCCAGCTGCCTGTTAAATTAAAACAAAATTCCTGCAGCAAATAGTCAATTCGAAAAACAAGCAGTAGTAGGTCTAAAACAAAGGAGCCGAGCATGAAAAGAACCTTGACTGAATCAAGCTGCATTTTGGAAAGTATATCAAATGGATGTTTTCCTGGTTTTGCTTTTAGGCAGATACTTGCTCCTGCCAGCACAAGTAGCTGCTGAGATCACAGCCTATCTTCTTTTGCCTTTGTGTTCCTACATATACCCTTAGACTTTGTTTCTGTGAGATCGTAGGCTATACCATGAGGCTGGCTTATAAAACTCAGTAGTCTGCAGAGGTGTAATAATGTGTTTTAGTTGAAAACAGAACTTGAAACAGAGACACAAACAAACAGCAAGGCCTGGCAGCCTCTTTCCCCTCCCACTCCCAAGAGCTGGTTGTCCTGCTTCCCCTCCCAATTTTCTGTTGGCTCAGTGCCTCCCCAGCTGGCAAAAAAAAAAAAACAAACTGGGGCAATTAACCCTTTCTTCCGAAGCCCAAATGCTAACAAGACCTAAATGGCTTTCCTCCATGGAACAAAAGAATGTAGATCACCAGGGCTGTGCGCTGCCCCATCACTCTGCAGCAGGAACCCATGTCTTCCTCCTTTGCTTGCACAGCACCTACCTCAGCAGCCCATGCTCCTTCGAAGTGCTAGTTCTCCTTCAATAGAATAAAACAGAAAAATAAATACACCCTACATGACCTGAACAGCTCTTAACTTTCACCTCATCACCTCAATCCAGATTTCCCTTCCAACCAATCTACAAGCTGATTTTCTCATTCATTTAAGGAAGACCCAAAGGGACTGTCAGTTGTAGAAAAGGGCAGAGAAACCATCAATGGCTTTAAGTGAACTGGTTTGGGTACCAGAAGCAGCAAAGCTCTCTATTGGATAATTCACTGTTGTTGTTTCCTGCCTAAAGGAAATAGAATCTGCCTTTTCAGGAGGTCTGCCACATCTGAGGCCACCATAAGCCCAGACTTCTTTTGTTTTATGACAAAATTCTAGCAAGTGCTGCCCATAGATAGTGAGCTTTCTCAAAATGCTTTCCCAGGGCAGGATAGGGTATTTGCCAATGCACTTTCATTTCCATTATTTTCCATGGTTGCATAGAAGATTTTATGTACTAGAGGTGTGTTTAGTTTAGGGGGCCAGTACTGTTCAGAAAGGATGCTGGGACATTGTTCCACATCTGAGACAAAGGCTTTTCATTATTCCCATAGAATCCATTGCAGTAACAGATTTGCATCTTCCATCAAAGGTGACTAACTTTGTTTTACTACAGCTGTACACCAGCAAATCACAGCAATGAAGAGTGAATGCAATTTCCACCCTATGAACACAGCTTTTTTGTTGTTCATAACTCACTCAATCAAATTTTACTGGATCAAAAGTGTGCATCCTGTTAATTGTCAAATATCAGGAAAACTGGCATAGATTACTTATGCTTCAAAAAACAGCAAGCAAATGCATAATCGTGCCTTAGATACCAACACAAACAGTGCATGTTTATTGTAATGGTTGGACACACTGGCAATATATTTTGAGTTACTAGTGAAACATAAAAAGCAGATTAAGCATGCAGAAAACTGGTTTAGTAGCTTTGAAGTTGTGACAATAACCATTTTCATACACAGTAAAAATTTCCATTACGTTTCTTGGCTTGGTCTAAATTCAGGAGGCTGGATGTTGCATACTTGGTAGAACTTGCTAATCAGTTTTTTCTCTTTTATCTGAAGTACTTTTCACTTTGGGGGCAATTGTGAAGCAAAATAGAAACAAAGAACAGCACACTACTGACATTTAAGGTAGTCAGGAACAGTGTACTCTTGGAGGCAAAATTATCCTGGGCCATGAGCTGCTTTTTTTTTGTTTCCATGTTTGTTTTCACCAAGGCTTAATAATACTTTGCAACAGTTACTTATGACTTCATAAGTTTGTTAAGTCTGTTACCTCTCAAGGTGACCTTCTCATCATCAAATCCAACCTGCCAGGAATTTTAGCTATTTGCTGAATCTGTGTAATATGCTCCATCTAATCATCTTTCAGAAGATTTCACTAAAAATTTCCTATGCCATTTAGTAGCTTTACATCTTCTCCCCTGTTTTTCACCTGCCAGCAGGAAGGCAACTGGGACCAGCAGCATTGGTGAAGCTCTGCTGTTGGGACTAAAAAGACCCTTTCCAGACTGCATATGGTCAAGGGGGCCATGGACTACATTTGTCAACATTCTTTTTCTTTTTGTTGTTGTCATTGCTTACTTTCACAGTTTGCAAATTGATAGAGCTGAGGGCTTCCAGAAACTTGTCCTAAACTGTGTCCCTCCAACTTGCTTCTTAGTCCTGACTCCTGCCCTATATTTTCTTTTAGGAGTTAGTCATTCCCTTCCAGCCAAGATGGTGAAAACAGGTAGACCTTCAATCACCTTTCCCTTTCTAGGGGTAGGAGAGAAAGAGTGCAAAACCCCATTGGCAGCAGCACATGACCTCTCAAATCTTCTGGGATGAGAATCTTCTTCCACGTGATGGGACAGCTGATGAGGTTGACAGAAGCAGAAGCAGTACCACCCAAACTCATGAGTCCATGGACCTCATGCTCCTTTGCCAGGTTTGATAGCAGAATAGCTCAAAAGACCCCACATTCCACCTACCCAGACAGTATGGCCAAAGGGCAGGTCAGACCGAGATAGTTCATTCCCTTCTCCTTGATCTTTCTGTTTTCCTTGATCTTCAAGGCTTCACAGGAAGCCTTTGAAGCAGCGCATATAAGGGCAAGAGCTGCTGTGTTAAGTTTATATTCTCACAAATTACATCCATCTTTTGCTCAGCTCAAGATGTTCTGTTGAACAATAAATGCAGATCCCAAAGACTCATTAAGGCTCTTTTCTCCAAGCACCATGTTGGAGTACATCCAGATTTTCAGAGGCTGGACATCATTTAGCCAATCTGTATCCTCTAGAGCATCTCAGAGGCAGACATTTAGCCTGTTATCCTTAATATTCCTTGAAGATTTCAAACATATGGCTCCTGACCATTTTTCAATTGTGCGTCAGATTTAGTCTGCATAAAAAAAAAAACAAATTATTCGTTTCTCAAGGAAAATATGATACAATACTATTTGCCCTCCCAGAGCTGTTTCATATTTCTTTGAACTCTTTGGTTAAAAGTATGAGAAATAGACTGTAAAGGAGCAGGACTATATTTGATTTCCATTCATCTGCAAGGGTATATTTCAAAAGTTGGGTAGCATTTTCTAACAAATAGTAGAACAAACTTATATTGCTTTTTTTGTTCATTTTAAGAATTTATTACAAGTGCCAAGTGATAATTTGAACACAGATTACACCACTAGCATCAGAAAGGAAGTTCAAATGTCTGGGTGGGAGATTTTGAAGGATAATTCTGATTTATAATATGTGATTTATAAATTGTGATTTAGAAATCTGTGATTTATAATCTGCAGCTATCCTTTTATTGTGTACTTTGTTTTGCCCCGTTATCTTCATCCTTTTCAGTTTGAATATAATGCAAGTAACAAAGCCATTTTTTTATTTGCAAAATTTGCTGGAAATCTCCAAGTTAAGTGGAAACAGCATTATGGGACTCTTGGAGAATTATGACATTAGATTTTCCGACCTCATGTAATAGATGTACTAAATTAACTTGAAAGAGGACTTGCAAAGATATTTCCCAATTGCTCATTTTTTATGAGAGCTGCTTATATTAGAGGTCTTACAATACTTATTTTATTATCTCCATTTTTTTGTAACCACTTTCAGCTGGGATTCCGTTTAGGACCTTGATCATTCTCAGTTTGTATGGCAGAATGAAAAGAAAATATGGTCCCAAGAAAGAAAATGATTCAGTAAAAGAAAACTCGTTTGGATGGACCATAGAATGACAGATCTTGCCATTATGTTTGTATTTGGACAAGATGCTACTACCTGAAAATCATTGCCACTTGATGAGAGACCTGTGAGCCATAGATTAATGTATCAAGTCCAACTCCTACAAGACAAATAGCCTCAAGATTTCCACTGTTAATGACCACATTGGTTTAAGCAGATGGAAGATAACTCTTCCATGTACAATAGTAGCTTCAGTTATTTTGAACAGCATCAGCTTGGTCTAAGAGATTGACAGCCATCTTCTGTTTTGCAATGGGGACTGCAGGGGAGAGGATAGTCAACACCAGTCTGCACAAAAAAAATTATAGCTGGTAAATATTGGCATGAATGTTGCTCAGAGGACAAATTCTCAGGTTCAGCTGGGGACATCTACTGTGTTCCTGGGTCTGCCATCCTGTTCAACAAGACTCCCATCCTGCAAGCATGCTGACCTCAATGGAGATGACGCTATTTAGAGTTCTATGTCATGGTCTATGGCAGGACAGCCTCCTTCTGTTTATTTCACAGTTTAGATCAGCATAAGCTGACTATGAATCCCCACCTTCAGGTGCAGGGAGGTTGCTGAGTCTTTACAAGATGCTTCAGATTGCAGTGCTAGCGATCTGGCAGCTCTCACCAGCCCAAAGTCACTTGCAAATCATATGCTTGGGCACTGCATTAAGTATTTGGCTTTCAGTTAGCAATAGTATGGACAGAGTTCTCGCTGTGCTGAGTTTCAATTTTGCACTGTTTCCCTGTGACCCTTGAAACTGGACGTGCACCAGCCCACCAGCCTAGTGGAGAGACTGAATTTTACCCTGTGCTTGAGCTCCTGACTACCTGCTCATTTCTCAGTCAACCAAAAGACTGTTCCTGAGGGATAGAAGAGGCTCCTTAAAAGATTTAATAGCCTAGAGAGAGGATCATTGTAGCAGAGCTCACCTACCCCTTCATCTGACCTGCAGTAACTGGGGTAAGGTGGGAAGAGAGAGGCAGAGGCTGGAACCACAGTGTTTCCCTGTGCTGACTCACAGAAAAGCAGCTCCTTGCAGGCCAGCCCCAGCCCCTCCACCACCTAAGGAACACAGGAGGGAATCCAGCCCCTTCGTGCCCATTGCGCACATGCTAAATAAAACAGCAACTTGTGACATGAAACATGTCTCCCTGAATGATTGTGTTTGGATGTATTAACACAGCACTGACCAGAGTGCAACTGCTGCCAAGCCATCGCCCTCCCCTTCCACCATTCAGCCTCCAACAAAACTAATGTTAGTGCTGCTGTAAGTAGGATATCTTAATGCAGCACACACAT